CTCGCGGCTGAGTGGACAGCGCTCGGGGGTCGTAGTCCTAAGGTTCGATTTCGTCCGAGGCAGAAACAAATGAGCAGTTTTGTTTCACCCTGATGCATCTGTTCCCCTAGCAGTAAATAGGTACCTGGGAGTTAGGCAGCTGCTACGGGCTGCTTCCTTGGATGTGCTTGTGTGTTAGAGAAATATTTGTAGTAGACATAATAGAGGAAAAATAGATTGGTTAGAAAGGCGGGGTCCAAGAGCTAAATATCTCAGTTCTGCAGACTGAAATAGTATACAAATAATACACACATCCGAGTTGCATTTACGGACTTATACAAGGATCTAAAGACTTTCTTCTCTATCACTTACAAGACCAGAGGGATTGAAAGTGGATAAAAAGATGAGATTCCCAGGATAAATGTATCAAGGAAGTGGCATGGTGGGAATGAGCCGAGAGATGCGTGGGAGAGACTATGAATACTGACTATTCATAGTCATAACATCAAGCGTATTAAACAAATAGAAGTGTCGAGATCATTTCATTGGGTGATCGACAGCAGAACTCGCCGGGGTCCAGGAGCTGAGAGTCGACTCTGCAGAGCACAGATGCAAACACAAGTTCAATTACAGATACCTCCACTGAGACCAAGAAATTAGCCGCGTTAATTGACTGATCGTGAGGAGGAGGTTTGGTCGTGGGGTGGGGGGGGGGGGGGGGGGGTGTGCAGGAGGTCAAAGGAAGTACCTTATTTAGTTCAACAAATTTGGTGGCGCTCGCTGCACCACGGAGCTTACCAGGCGCCGTCATGGCCGCCCCGCCGTCAGGAACAGTGACACTAACTTAATGCATTTACTGACAAAAAATAACGCGTCCTGTTACTGTTCTTGCTGCTGCTGTTGCTGCTGCTCCTGCTGCTGCTGCTGCTCCTACTGCTAGTCACACTACTACTACTACCATTTTCCTCACTACTACTATCTGCACATCTGCTACACCCATCATAGCTTCTGCGTATATTACCTTAGATACACACGGACCCCAAACACAGTCAGACGAGAGTGAACTATATGTAGAAGAACAGATCTCAATCCCTCTCTTAACTAAGACAGATGAGAACATCTATAAATGCTGCTTAGCATTATAAAAGCACTTCAATCACCTGTGGTTGAGTACTAAATACCCCCCCCCCCCCTCACTGCACAATACGTTGTGTAATGTAGAACACAAGAAAATTAACATATAAACGACCCAGTTTGTGTTAGATAAAATATACCTGAGTTTATAATCACACTCTCAATCGGGCCTCGAGTCTTCCCTATTACCTTTACACACACACCTTGACCTCTACAGTGGTGAGGAATCTCTTGTGTCTGTGAGGGGAAAAACTAAATGAGCAGGGCACGAGAGTGATGACTTGAGACCAACACTGTGGCAGGTGAGGTGAGGTGGAGCCAGGTAATTGGCATTACTTCTCGCGTCCTTTTAACTGACAATGACCATCAATCAAGGTAAAAAGAGGCTTCAATGGACGGGTTATTCGCCCCCGCAGACTGTGGGGAGCATTAATCAATCACTCGTCTGTTTGAAGACCGCCCGGATATTTATGAAGCAGTCGAGGGTGGGAATACACATTGTTCATTCTGTAATGTTGCACGCAAGGGTGATCTGTTGCTGCCTGAGGTGTGTGCCACTTTCTGTTGTGTGTGTGTGGCACTTTCTGTTGTGTGTGTGTGGCACTTTCTGTTGTGTGTGTGTGGCACTTTCTGTTGTGTGTGTGTGGCACTTTCTGTTGTGTGTGTGGCACTTTCTGTTGTGTGTGTGTGGCACTTTCTGTTGTGTGTGTGTGGCACTTTCTGTTGTGTGTGTGTGGCACTTTCTGTTGTGTGTGTGTGGCACTTTCTGTTGTGTGTGTGTGGCACTTTCTGTTGTGTGTGTGTGGCACTTTCTGTTGTGTGTGTGTCACTTTCTGTTGTGTGTGTGTGTGCCACTTTCTGTTGTGTGTGTGTGGCACTTTCTGTTGTGTGTTTGCGGGGGTTGAGCTCTGGCTCTTTGGTCCCGCCTCTCAACTGTCAATCAACTGCTGTACAGGTTCCTGAGCCTACTGGCCTCTATCATATCTACATTTGAAATTGTGTATGGCGTCAGCCTCCACCACATCACTTCCTAGTGCATCCATCCGTTAACTACTCTGACACTGAAAAAGTTCTTTCTAACGTCTATGTGGCTCATTTGGGTACTCTGTTACCACCTGTGTCCCCTTGTTCGCGTACCACAAGTGTTAAACAGTTTATCTACCCTGTCAATTCCTCTGAGAATTTTGTAGGTAGTGATCATGTCTCCCCTTACTCTTCTGTCTTACAGTGTCGTGAGGTGCATTTCCCGCAGCCTATGCTCGTAACTCATGCCTCTTAGTTCTGGGACTAGCCTAGTGGCATACCCCTGAACTTTTTCCAACTTAGTCTTGTGCTTGACAAGGTACGGGCTCCATGCTGGGGCCGCATACTCCAGGATTGGTCTTACATATGTGGTGTACAAGGTTCTGAATGATTCCTTACACAGGTTCCTGAAGGCAGTTCTGATGTTAGCCAGCCTCGCATACGCCGCAGACGTTATTCTTTTGATGTGGGCTTCAGGAGACAGGTTTAGTGTGATATCAACTCCTTGATCTTTCTCTCTGTTCGTTTCATGAAGGACTTCATCTCCCATTCGGTATCCTGTGTCTGGCCTCCTGTTTCCACTGCCTTGTTTCATTACCTTACATTTACTCGGGTTGAACTTTAGTAGCCATTTGTTGGACCTTTCATTCAGTCTGTCTAGGTCATCTTGTAGCCTCCTCTCTTACTCCGTCTTAATCCTCCTCATAATTTCTGCACCATTAGCAAACAATGAGAGGAATGATTCTATACCATCTGGAAGATCATTTACATATATAATATGTGTGTGTGGCACTTTCTGTGTGTGTGTGTGTGTGGCACTTTCTGTGTGTGTGTGTGTGGCACTTTCCGTTGTATGTGTGTGTGGCACTTTCCGCTGTGTGTGTGTGTGGCACTTTCCGCTGTGTGTGTGTGTGGCACTTTCCGCTGTGTGTGTGTGTGGCACTTTCCGCTGTGTGTGTGTGTGGCACTTTCCGCTGTGTGTGAGTGTGGCACTTTCCGCTGTGTGTGAGTGTGGCACTTTCCGTTGTATGTTTGTGTGGCACTTTCCGCTGTGTGTGTGTGTGTTCACTTTCCGTTGAATGTGTGTGTGGCACTTTCCGCTGTGTGTGTGTGTGGCACTTTCCGTTGTGTGTGTGTGTGTGGTACTTTGCGTTGTGTGTGTGTGTGGCACTTTCCGTTGTGTGTGTGTGTGGCACTTTCCGTTGTGTGTGTGTGTGTGGCACTTTCCGTTGTGTGTGTGTGGGGGGCACTTTCCGTTGTGTGTGTGTGTGGGGCACTTTCCGTTGTGTGTGTGTGTGGGGCACTTTCCGTTGTGTGTGTGTGTGGCACTTTCCGTTGTGTGTGTGTGTGGCACTTTCCGTTGTGTGTGTGTGTGGCACTTTCCGTTGTGTGTGTGTGTGTGGCACTTTCCGTTGTGTGTGTGTGTGGCACTTTCCGTTGTGTGTGTGTGTGTGTGTGTGTGGCACTTTCCGTTGTATGTGTGTGTGGCACTATCCGTTGTATGTGTGTGTGGCACTTTCCGTTGTGTGTGTGTGTGGCACTTTCCGTTGTGTGTGTGTGTGTGTGGCACTTTCCGTTGTGTGTGTGTGTGTGTGTGGCACTTTCCGTTGTGTGTGTGTGAGTGTGGCACTTTCCGTTGTGTGTGTGTGTGGCACTTTCCGTTGTGTGTGTGTATGTGTGTGTGGCACTTTCCGTTGTGTGTGTGTGTGTGGCACTTTCCGTTGTGTGTGTGTGTGTGGCACTTTCCGTTGTGTGTGTGTGTATGGCACTTTCCGTTGTGTGTGTGTGTGGCACTTTCCGTTGTGTGTGTGTGGCACTTTCCGTTGTGTGTGTGTGTGTGTGTGGCACTTTCCGTTGTGTGTGTGTGTGGCACTTTCCGTTGTGTGTGTGTGTGGCACTTTCCGTTGTGTGTGTGTGTGGCACTTTCCGTTGTGTGTGTGTGTGTGGCACTTTCCGTTGTGTGTGTGTGTGGCACTTTCTCTTGTGTGTGTGGCACTTTCTCTTGTGTGTGTGGCACTTACTCTTGTGTGTGTGTGGCACTTTCTGTTATGTGTGTGTGGCACTTTCCGTTGTGTGTGTGTGTGTGGCACTTTCCGTTGTGTGTGTGTGTGTGTGGCACTTTCCGTTGTGTGTGTGTGTGTGGCACTTTCTGTTGTGTGTGTGTGTGTGGCACTTTCCGTTGTGTGTGTGTGTGGCACTTTCTCTTGTGTGTGTGGCACTTTCTGTTGTGTATGTGTGTGTGGCACTTTCCGTTGTGTGTGTGTGGCACTTTCCGTTTTGTGTGTGTGGCACTTTCTGTTGTGTGTGTGTGGCACTTTCCGTTGTGTGTGTGTGGCACTTTCTGTTGTGTGTGTGGCACTTTCCGTTGTGTGTGTGTGGCACTTTCCGTTTTGTGTGTGTGGCACTTTCTGTTGTGTGTGTGTGGCACTTTCCGTTGTGTGTGTGTGGCACTTTCTGTTGTGTGTGTGGCACTTTCCGTTGTGTGTGTGTGTGTGGCACTTTCCGTTGTGTGTGTGGCCTTTTCCGTTGTGTGTGTGGCACTTTCCGTTGTGTGTGTGTGTGGCACTTTCCGTTCTGTGTGTGGCACTTTCTGTTGTGTGTGTGTGTGGCACTTTGTTCTTCCTGTAACTTACAACATAGAATCTCTCTCTCCCTCTCTCCCCCCTCCCCCTCCCCAGCTTTCATAGTGGCCCGGAGCGTGACTAATGATCTTCACAGTCAACAAAGGCAATTAACTTGTCCACTGATGTTTGCTTACAATGATTAATAGTCACAATTTATAGCCGGGGGAAAAAACAGGTAGCCGGCCTGTAAAATGATTGCTGACGTATTTATATGATTGAGACGACGACACTGGTTGTTAGTTGCGAGCACTAACAATCAGGGCACTAACACCCAGGGCACTAACAACCAGGGCACTAACAACCAGGGCACTAACAACCAGGGCACTAACACCCAGGGCACTAACACCCAGGGCACTAACAACCAGGCCACTAACAACCAGGCCACTAACACCCAGGCCACTAACAACCAGGCCACTAACAACCAGGCCACTAACAACCAGGCCACTAACAACCAGGCCACTAACAACCAGGCCACTAACACCCAGGGCACTAACAACCAGGCCACTAACAACCAGGCCACTAACAACCAGGCCACTAACAACCAGGGCACTAACACTCGGGGCACTAACAACCAGGGCACTAACACTCGGGGCACTAACACTCGGGGCACTAACAACCAGGGCACTAACACCCAGGCCACTAACAACCAGGGCACTAACACTCGGGGCACTAACAACCAGGGCACTAACACCCAGGTCACTAACAACCAGGCCACTAACACCCAGGGCACTAACAACCAGGGCACTAACACCCAGGGCACTAACACCCAGGACACTAACAACCAGGGCACTAACAACCAGGCCACTAACACCCAGGGCACTAACAACCAGGCCACTAACACCCAGGGCACTAACAACCAGGCCACTAACAACCAGGGCACTAACACTCGGGGCACTAACAACCAGGCCACTAACAACCAGGGCACTAACAACCAGGCCACTAACAACCAGGCCACTAACAAGCAGGGCACTAACACTCGGGGCACTAACAACCAGGCCACTAACACCCAGGGCACTAAAAACCAGGCCACTAACAACCAGGGCACTACCAACCAGGGCACTAACACCCATGGCACTAACACCCAGGGCACTAACAACCAGGGCACTAACACCCAGGGCACTAACACTCAGGGCACTAACACCCAGGCCACTAACACCCAGGGCACTAACACCCAGGGCACTAACACCCAGGGCACTAACACCCAGGGCACTAACATCCAGGCCACTAACAACCAGGGCACTAACACTCGGGGCACTAACAACCAGGGCACTAACAACCAGGGCACTAACAACCAGGGCACTAACACCCATGGCACTAACACCCAGGGCACTAACAACCAGGCCACTAACACCCAGGGCACTAACAACCAGGGCACTAACACCCAGGGCACTAACAACCAGGGCACTAACAACCAGGGCACTAACAACCAGGCCACTAACACCCAGGGCACTAACAACCAGGCCACTAACACCCAGGGCACTAACAACCAGGGCACTAACAACCAGGGCACTAACACCCAGGACACTAACAACCATGGCACTAACACCCAGGGCACTAACAACCAGGCCACTAACACCCAGGGTACTAACACCCATGGCACTAACACCCATGGCACTAACACCCAGGGCACTAACACCCAGGGCACTAACACCCAGGGCACTAACACCCAGGGCACTAACACCCAGGGCACTAACACCCAGGCCACTAACACCCAGGGCACTAACACCCAGGCCACTAACACCCAGGGCACTAACACCCAGGGCACTAACACCCAGGGCACTAACACCCAGGGCACTAACACCCAGGGCACTAACAACCAGGGCACTAACACCCAGGCCACTAACACCCAGGCCACTAACACCCAGGGCACTAACACCCAGGGCACTAACACCCAGGGCACTAACACCCAGGGCACTAACAACCAGGGCACTAACACCCAGGCCACTAACACCCAGGGCACTAACACCCAGGGCACTAACACCCTGGGTACTAACACCCAGGGCACTAACACCCAGGGCACTAACACCCAGGGCACTAACACCCAGGGCACTAACAACCAGGCCACTAACAACCAGGCCACTAACACCCAGGCCACTAACACCCAGGGCACTAACACCCAGGGCACTAACACCCAGGGTACTAACACCCAGGGCACTAACACCCAGGGCACTAACAACCAGGCCACTAACACCCAGGCCACTAACACCCAGGGCACTAACACCCAGGGCACTAACACCCAGGGTACTAACAACCAGGCCACTAACACCCAGGGTACTAACAACCAGGCCACTAACACCCAGGCCACTAACAACCAGGGCACTAACACCCAGGGCACTAACAACCAGGCCACTAACACCCAGGGCACTAACACCCAGGGCACTAACAACCAGGCCACTAACACCCAGGCCACTAACACCCAGGGCACTAACACCCAGGGCACTAACACCCAGGCCACTAACAACCAGGGCACTAACACCCAGGGCACTAACAACCAGGCCACTAACACCCAGGGCACTAACACCCAGGCCACTAACAACCAGGGCACTAACACCCAGGGCACTAACAACCAGGCCACTAACACCCAGGCCACTAACACCCAGGCCACTAACAACCAGGGCACTAACACCCAGGGCACTAACAACCAGGCCACTAACACCCAGGGCACTAACACCCAGGGCACTAACACCCAGGCCACTAACACCCAGGCCACTAACACCCAGGGCACTAACACCCAGGGCACTAACAACCAGGCCACTAACACCCAGGCCACTAACACCCAGGGCACTAACAACCAGGGCACTAACATCCAGGGCACTAACACCCAGGGCACTAACACCCAGGGCACTAACACCCAGGGTACTAACACCCAGGCCACTAACAACCAGGCCACTAACAACCAGGCCACTAACAACCAGGCCACTAACAACCAGGCCACTAACAACCAGGGCACTAACAACCAGGCCACTAACAACCACCTTGGGGGGCAGGACAAACCCAGCAAGGGGGTTATGTTGGCTGTTAAAATGAAATTTGTTGTGATATAAGTCACCGAAGCTTGTGGTTGACAGGATCGAGGCTCATACCTTGAGGTGGCCATCTTGGCTTTTCCGTACAGGTGTCGCTGGTTTAGTTAAGCAGCTGTCAGTGGGATAAATCACGAGTGGTGATGCTGAGTTCTTGTTGTTCTGCGGTCAGCGTCAGGATATGACAGGCATGATGTAGGCGGCGCGCGTGATCAGGATTTTGAATACTTTGGGGGAAAATAAATAATTGATATCATGTTACGCACCTTGTTGCCTCGTTAAGCTTACATTTGTTATATATTATATATATATATATAATATATATATATATATATATATATATATATATATATATATATATATATATATATATATATATATATATATATATATATTATATATATATAATATACATATAATATATATATATATATTAATGAAGAACTGAAGAACATGAGGTCATGAAGAACTCTCCAGACACCAAACAGAATGCCTTGAAAGAAACCAACGTCGTCTTTGCCTTCACATGCCCACTTGGGGACTATCAGCCCCAAAGATCTCAGTATATAGGCAAGACAACAACAACGTCTCTCTCTAGGCGATTAACAGTACACAAACAACAGGGCTCCATCAAGGAGCACATAATCTCCTCTCATCACACAATCAGACCATCACTAGAGTAATCTTAACAAGCAACACAGAAATTATCGACAGATACAACGACAACAGGAGACTCGACATCAGTGAGGCCCTACACATCAAACAGTAAAAACTAACCATTAACACATGATTACAATCTACCCACTTGAAGATCCGGAACCAACACGAAGCAAAAAGATTAAGCACACAATGGTGTACCCATTGATTAACTTGTTCATCTCAGTCATGTCATGTATCATCTCATCTCAGTCACGTCCTGTATCACCTCATCCCAAGCTAATATAAACATTAACAGAGTATGTAACATTTTTCTCAGCACAAGTCTGCCACCACTACCACTCTGGGGCCAGATTCACGAAAGCACTTACGCAAGCACTTACGAACGTGTACATCTTTCCTCAATCTTTGACGGCTTTGGTTACATTTATTAAACAGTTTACAAGCATGAAAACTTGCCAATCAACTGTTGCTATTGTTATAAACAGCCTCCTGGTGCTTCGGAGCTCATTAACTGTTTAATAATTGTAAACAAAGCCGCCAAAGATCGAGAAAAGATGGACAGGTTCGTAAGTGTTTGCGTAAGTGCTTTCGTGAATCTGGCCCCTGGAGACTACCACCAGGACGACCACGAAGTCGATTTCAACACAGACGCCAGAACCCCCCCAAGACCCGGGCGGCACAAACAGAGGTATTTCCCTCTCCAGCTCCCAACACTCCTACCATCACCACCTCAGCAGCCGCACTAGCAGACGTGCTGTCTACAAGTGCTAACAGCACCACCAACGTTCCTGAAATAGCTTCTACCACCAATCCACGACACCTTAGCCTACCTCAGGCTGCGAGGCGAAAGACGAATACACCAACTACGAAGGTTACACACTCCTCAGACGAGGAAATCTTAGTAGGAGCTCCACCGCTGCACCACAAATACGACACCTACTCGGTACAAGACCTCATGGAAGCCGCCTCACCAAACACCAACGACAGCACGACTCAGCCAAAGTCTCAGGCAAAGAAAAATCGGAAGACCTAGAGGTCTACACTAACGCCACCAGTTCCATAGCTGGTACAGCCAGCCCACCAGGGCTGAAAACGACCATGAAGACCCCCATCTATCCACAGATCTCTAGTATCAGCTATTGATACAGATAATGGCTCCAAAGCGCCTCCACTTACGGGCTCATCGTAGCCCGTGCTACTTGGAACTTTTTGTTCTGAGTAGTTAATCTAAAACAACAACAACAACATATGTAAAAATGTCTTTGAAAATGTAAGAAGTGTCTTGCAAAACGCTTCTAGGCGTCTGACCATAAAGTATGAAAATGAGCTTTGAAGAGTTAATTTTTCAACTATCTTCGACAGTGAAAAAAAAAAACATAAGAAATATTGAGAAGATTCGTGTTGGTCATTAATCTTACCCTTTCGGTCATATTCAACAACATTATATATATAAATGAAAACTCCGTTGCATATTGCTTGGGCCCAACTTGGAACTGAAATTTCAGTTGCATTTTGGCTTGGGACCCATTCAAGCTGGTTCACACACACACACACACATTATATATATATATATATATATATATATATATATATATATATATATATATATGCAACAATGATCACAAAAACACTGATCCAAGTATGCAGAATAACCACACTATTTTTCATATGTGGTTATTCTATATATATATATATATATATATATATATATATATATATATATATATATATATTAGTATATTTTGGTAGCAGTCTTTCTTGTAAACATATATTACTAAATATGACCGAAAAAGTAAGATTAATAATTCTAACACGAATTTTCTCAATGTCTTATGTTTCTTTTCACTGCCGATGGTAATTGAAAAATCAATTCTCCAAAATAAAAATTAATTTTGGAGAATTGATTTTTCAATTACCATCGACAGTGAAAAGAAACATAAGAAATATTGAGAAAATTCGTGTTAGAATTATTAATCTTACTTTTTCGGTCATATTTAATAATATATATATATATATATATATATATATATATATATATATATATATATATATATATAATGTCGTACCTAGTAGCCAGAATGCACTTCTCGGCCTACTATGCAAGGCCTGATTTGCCTAATAAGCCAAATTTTCATGAATTAATATATTTTCTCTAATTTTTTTCTTATGAAATGATAAATCTACCCATTTCATTATGCATGAAGTCAATTTTTTTTATTGAAGTTAAAATTAACGTTGATATATGACCGAACCTAACCAACCCTACCTAACCTAACCTAACCTATCTTGATAGGTTAGGTTAGGTTAGGTATCCGAAAAAGTTAGGTTAGGTTAGGTAGTCAAAAAACAATTCATGAAAACTTGGCTTATTAGGCAAATCGGGCCTTGCATAGTAGGCTGAGAAGTGCGTTCTGGCTACTAGGTACGACATTATATATATATATATATATATATATATATATATATATATATATATATATATATATATATATAATATAATAACTGAAAACTCCACACCCCAGAAGGAGTCGAACCCAGACAGCCAGGAGCACTATGCACATGGCGTACCTGGTTCCTTAACCACTCGACCACCGTAACTGTTCAAAAGACATTGGTAGCCGAGATTATTTCCCCAACATCCCGACAGCACTCGATGTTAAGCTTGGGCATAGATATTTCATCGAATCACCTCACTTTGTGGGGCCACGTGAGCAATACAAACAGCGAACCATACAGCGAATACCGCAGTTGACTTCAATAATACCAATAAAATAGATTCTGTAGCTCAAAACAAAATTATTTTTACGTTCGATTTGCTTTTGTTTTAAGCCGTAACCGCGATGTATGCGCCCTGGGTTTAATAAAGCGGCTCCTGTTTTGATTGGGTTCATCGTTAAAAACAATGTTCCTGCTTGTATTGCAATATATTTAAGATGCAGAGCACCGCGGTGTGTTGAATACCTCGTTGACAAGTTGGTACGCTGGTTCAACCACACGGCTGTGAAGGGAATGTGTTGGGGTGGTGTGTTGGGGGTGGTGGTGGTGTGTTGTGGTGGCGGTGTGTGTGTGTTGGGGTGGGGTGTTGAGGGTGGTGTGTGTGTTGGGGTGGTGTTGTGGTGGTGTGTTGTTGTTGTGGTGGTGTGTTGTTGTTGGGGTGGGGTGTTGAGGGTGGTGGTGTGTTGGGGGTGGTGTGTGTGTGTGTTGGGGTGGCGGTGTGTGTGTGTGTTGGGGTGGGGTGTTGGGGGTGGTGTGTTGTGGTGGTGTGTTGTTGTTGTGGTGGTGTGTGTTGTGGTGGTGTGTGTGTTGTGGTGGTGTGTTGTTGTTGTGGTGGTGTGTGTTGTGGTGGTGTGTGTGTTGTGGTGGTGTGTGTTGTGGTGGTGTGTTGTTGTTGTGGTGGTGTGTGTTGTGGTGGTGTGTGTGTTGTGGTGGTGTGTGTGTTGTGGTGTGTTGTTGTTGTGGTGGTGAGTGTTGTGGTGGTGTGTGTGTTGTGGTGGTGTGTGTTGTGGTGGTGTGTTGTTGTTGTGGTGGTGAGTGTTGTGGTGGTGAGTGTTGTGGTGGTGTGTTGTTGTTGTTGTGGTGGTGTGTGTTGTTGTTGTTGTGGTGGTGTGTGTTGTTGTTGTTGTGGTGGTGTGTGTTGTGGTGGTGTGTGTTGTGGTGGTGTGTTGTTGTTGTGGTGGTGTGTGTTGTTGTTGTTGTGGTGGTGTGTGTTGTGGTGGTGTGTGTTGTGGTGGTGTGTGTTGTGGTGGTGTGTGTTGTGGTAGGGGTGTTGTACTTGCCTATCAGTGTCTATACAGGGGGAGTGAGGTCTAACACTTTATGCCCCACCTACTAGTCTCCTTGTACCTGTTGTGTTACAATTCAACTATTCTGACGCTCAAATTCTTTGTCGCAGACTTTTAAAAGTTGTGGAAGGTGGTTGTTTCTACAACTTACTTCAGGGCGTTCCACTTGCTGACCACCCGTACAGGGTGCGACTATTTCCTTACATTCTTTCGGGTCATTTGCATTTTCAGCTTCCACTTATGTCCTCTCATCCTATATTCTCTCTCTCTTTAAAGTCTGCCTTTGTCCACCTTGCCATTTCGTCTGAGTATCTTCTTTGTCGCCATAATTTCACCTGTAATTTTCAGGTGAAAATTACTAGACATGTCAGCCCTCTGTCCTTCAAGGCTGACAGGTTTATTACTCCTTGTCCTCACAGCTTAACTCCCTTAGCTCTGGTACCAGTCTTCTTGCAAACCTCTGTACTTTGTTCAGTTTGGGTTTTATGCTTCTTAAGGTTTGGATACCATGCCGGTGCTGCATATTCCAGCGTTGGTCTAACAAAGGCTGTACAGATTGCCCTGAAAGAGGCCTAGTTT